AGGGCACATTGTCAAAATCTTTCAAAGTCTGTACAGATCGATTTTTATCACTGTAAACACAATAATACAAGCTGGTAGAGTCCCTGTGGTTATTTTATGAGGGTTGATTATGTATGTGTGCATTTACCCTTGTGTGCCCTATACCAGAGCCTCTATACTGTACTCTGTTAAGACCTATCTTGAATCTTCCTCTTAAAGCATCCAGTACAGGCCAATGCCAGAGACAGATATACAGTTCTAAATGCCCTAATGATCTGATTTCATTTGGTAATCCTATGTTCTTGATTATGTACATTTTCCCAAGGTATTTGCAAACTGCTTGGAAAAAAGTAATAATTAGCTAACGATTTTCCAAGAAGCACTGATAATATATACCAGCACGAGCCAATCAGTGGACTATGAAGAACAGCTACTGACACTCTGCTGGGAGGCACTTCCTCCAATATCTATCTTCTATGTCCTCCAGTGGAAATCCAGCCTAAGCGTTCAATGCAATGTGGCAGCATCAGCAGCGTGGAGCGCCCTTTCCCCTCTTGCCCCTGTAGTCCTAGGATCTACTCCAGGGCTGGGCAAGGTGTGGCTGGGGGGCTGGATCTAGCCCACCTAACACTTTGATCTGGCTTCTGGACTGCCTATGGCCACTTTCTAGCTATATCCTGCTGACCGTGCCACCGAACTTCAAGGCAGTGGCTCAAGCAGCAGGATCTTATTTCAATGGCTCACGGTGCAGGGTCGTGGTGCTACCCCAGCAGGGGCATGAGTCCTTTAAATAACCGTAGCAACCTCAGGTGGTTGCCAGGCAACGGGGTAGCCGCGGAGCCAGGAGCCTTCTGGTGGAGGCAAGTCCCTAGCCCCACCCCTTTTGCACCCGGCCCCACCCCTTCCATGCGTGGACCCAACCCATGACCATGTACCAAAATTCATGAAATGGCCCTCCTGTAAAAATTATTGCCCACCCTGATCTACTCCCTCAGGTTCTTCCAATAGGAGCCAATCGTGTGAACAGTTTTTTCCTGAGCGAAGCACCCAGAAATGCACTCACTCTATTTATTATATGTTAAAAAATCTGCAAATATAGGAAGCTCAGTTCTGCCATCTGTATGCACGTTGGGATATACACTAATGGCAAATTATTAATAAAACATATTCTTATAAATACGCACTGAAGTTAGTCAAAAGTTTCTTGTACATACAATAGTGAATCTGTACCAACATTTTTCTTTCTATAAACATTCCTCTTTCGCAATGCCTAGTCAATCTACCAGTTTTCCTTTTATGGACATAACAGGGTGCTAATCCTTGCCAGGATTAACAATTTTGTTTGGAATAGTCCCACAGTACTTATCTAAAACGCTGATCCGGCAAAAACCTGGGCATGTGCCTGATTTCTTGCACTGTGGGTCTGGTTCTTAGGATCAGGCCTTGTGAATAGTTCCACTGATTTCACTGGGAGTTCAACATGTGCTAAATTGGTCAAATGTTCCATTTTCAAGGCTGTATCTTTATGATTCAGTCACTTTATGCCTGGCCAAAACATATAAATTTATCACTTTTGAAAGCCTGAGTATATACTCAAGGGTTTACTGATTATTATGCAAAAATACTGATAGGTGACTGTTTAATCCTGACGTTAAAAAGTATGAAAAAAATCATGTTTAATAACTCATGAATTTGTTGCAGGTGTCTAGCAGAAAAATATGTAAATAGAGAATACAAATGCTAATTTATAAACTTCTGACTTTATAAGGGTCATTTGATGGTATGCCAAAAGAATTACATAATCACATCAATAAGAAAATACATTTTAGAATATGACATTTGAGTCTCAGATCATCAGATATTTCACTGAACCTTACACTTTCAGATATCCCACTTTAGATATGAGGATATACTTCAACAGAGTGAAACTAACAATACTATAGATGCAGTAAATTGTCTTTAGCCAACTGTGAAGGACTGAGTACTGTCTGTGGAGAAATTATATTTGATATGAACAAATACTGAGTCTCAATCTGACTTACAAATAAACCAAAGGAAACAGAAAGACTCTGGGTGGGAGACTGAGGTGCTGTCTTAAAACCAGTCAAATATACCCTGCAGCAGCTACTATTCCGGGGAAGATTGTATGTGCCTACAAAGCTAAAAATGAATCCTATTTGGCAAAATGTCAATGAGATAGCTTTGTCTTATTAGTTCCATACCTGTAAAGTTCCATTGTGTACAATAAAGGTATTTCTTTTATATATTAGCAGATATAAAATTGGTCCTTATTCTAAGACTCATTCTGTTAACAGGGTAATGGAGTTCCTCAGCACTGTCTTATAATCATTTCAAAATGGGTAATTCTTCTCACACCCACTGACTAGATTAAAATAGAATAGGATGCAGCAAAGGTGTAATTTTATACTAAACACCGAGAAAAAAAGAAGTTTAATATTTTAAACCTTTGCTAAGAAAAGGAACCCATAAAAACAGCAAATTTCTCAGACATCTCAAAAAGGTTTAATATTTTTACTTTGTACACGCATTTCAGAAAATGCTAGTTGCTCCTTTGTTTGAACTTTCACTTGCTATGCTTCTTCAAATTCTTGCATGGGGCACAGGGAAGAGTGCAAAGTTGAAGTCCAGTGGAAATCTGAGCAAAGGCTATCCCTGGGCACAAGTAACGTGATATGCTAGGCATAGTTGTTTTCACTGACTATAAATACATTTCAAACCATTTTAGTGCAAAGCATATGTACAGTAGTGAATGTATGTGTCTAAGAGACATGTCAAGTGTGTTCCTTGTCATGTTAATGCATGTTTCTTTCTCATGGCCAAAGTAACTCACATTAAAGTCAGTGGAAAGACTCCCAAACTGCAGTGAGTTGCATCAGGGCCTTTATCCTGAACCCTACTAATAGGCAGTAGTGATTTGGCAATTATGGATCTTCAGTATTAGAATAGGTCCCAGAAAAAGGTGGCTTACAAATTAGAACACAGGCATCAAAGTTTTGAGATAGATGCAATTTATCACCCACATATGTGGCATATATACTGACTAGGGTGTAACCTGCTCTTTATAGTTGAAATTAACGCTAACCTCATTTATAAAACACTATTAATCCCTCCTTGTCTTTGGACTGGAAAACTGTTTTGGCTTGAAACTGTAACATACTGGTGATTTGTCCTATCCCACTTAATTACAAATGTTAAAACTACATGTTTATTTGCTTACACAAAAGAAACGAGGAACAATATTGTATGTGTATGCTTTTAAAAAACCCTCCAAAACCAAAAAAACGATAATGAAATTTTAGGGTGTAAGAGATTTCAACTCACATCAGCAATTCCTGTAACTATATTATATGTATGTGAGAACATTCTTTAGAATCCCAAGAATCTTATATGCAAGGATTTTGATCCCCTGTCAACATAAATGCAAGATTCTATGTCAAACAGAGAAAATTCTTTACTCTTAAAGTTTAACCCTATCTAAAAGAGGAGTACACAACAGATTGCCAGATGATCCTCCCACATAGTTACACAATAGATGAAACACAATGAAAATGTACTTATGTTGTATAAATATACACACAATTTATACACATAGCATGGAGCTCAATAATTATTTGTATTTGCATAACATAGAGAAATAAAATTATCTATAGTATAATAATGTGGTGTGTGTCCCTTGTATTTCTTTTCTCTATCATGAAACCTCCCTCTTCTCTGCCTTTCCATGTAATTCTTCCACCTTTCAATCTTTCCTTTTCACTCCCATCTTAATCTTTGTTCTGTTCAATATCCCCTCCCCCCGGCAATGGTGCACCAACCTGGAGAATATAATTTCCCTACTTTCCAGCACTGATTTACATGGCTGCCGAGAGTTAGGGCTATAATAAGCTCAAAGGCTTGCCACCACTCTTTTTCCTCTGATGTCTGTAAGATGTACAATTTTGGGGGAGGCTTCACCTCCCAGGATCCCATCAGTCGTGATGCTCATGCTCTGGCAAAGTGAAAGGGAAGATGAGGGCAATGATGGTAATACCCATAAATGCAGATTAAAGAAAGAAAAGCCCTGCAGCCAGTGTGCAATGACCCTAGTTTATATCTGATGACTATTTTATTATCATGTCCACTTCCACGCACTCAGCTCTCCATTTTATTTTATCAGTGCACCCAACCCTCTTAAGATTTTTCACACGAGGCCAGTAGGGCCAGGTCTATACTAGACCTGGAAGGTCGGCTTAAGGTACGCAACTCCAGCTTTGCAAAATGCGTAGCTGGAGTTGGCTTACCTTAACCCGAGGCATGATGGCCTCCAAACTATGGGAGGCTTATGGGAGCAAATGCTCCCATCAGCTTCCCTCACTCCTCACAAAAGGCGGAGTGCTGCACGCCGGCTTGAGCAGTCTCCAGCATTATATTTATGGATCTGTACTAGACCTGCTAAATCCAATGCTAGAAGATTGACCTCTGGAGCGTCGCTTTTGCAGTAAGTATAGACGTGCAGTAAGTATAGACACTGGCACTTTTGTCAGCCAAATTTTTATTAGTCAGGTGTGAAAAAAACACCCCCTTGACTGACATAAGTTTCACTGACGTAAGTGCTATGTCAGTGGGAAGCATTCGTTGGGGGTGACTTAATTATGCCAGCTGGTGAGCTCTTTCCCACTGGCATAGAGCAGCTACACAGGAGAACTCATAGTGCAGTGGCACAGCCATGCTGCTGTAAGGTCACTAGTATAGACATATCCTAAAAAGCTATCTTACTACAATATTCACTGCTTTGCACTGTCAGCTTTTGTTTTAATCTTCTTGCTGTGTCGCCTTTGTCATTTCCCTCTTCTTAAAATACTTTCAAGATTTTTAATACAGAAATCTCTTTTTTTTTGTTAATCTTATTTTCTCCCAGAGACGGTGTTTGACCTCGCTGCAGTAATGCCAGTATCTTGTAAAAGCACAACCAGTTAAAGTTGTTTCACTATTCAGGCAGTGGAAAAGGAAGGTGCACTCACAGTTTTACTCCAGGTGAGGCCTGTGGTATGATGCTCTTTGATGTAAGCTTGAAGCTCAGTCCAGATGTTCAAATATGATTTCACCCAATCAACATGACGTAAGTCACTATAAGAAAAAAATATTTCTGTATGATTTATTGTGTTTAAATATAGAAACTTGTTACCCTATATTTAGTGTGGACTAGATACACTCATTTGTCATTGACTACAGACAAATAAGAAACTGCCGACAGGCAAGCAGCACAGCCAACAATGAGGCACAGCAGACTTATGAGCTCTGAGGGCACATCTACACTGCAGGGCAAAAGTCAAATTAAGATACTTAACTTCAGCTATGTCAATTGCTTAATTCGGCTTTTGGCATGGTCTACACAGCAGGAAGTCGAAGGAAGAACACTCTTCCCTCAACTTCCCTTACTCTGAGGGTTACAGGAGTTGGAGTAAGAAGTCCTCCAGCTCAAAATTAATTTGAAATTACAGCTGGCTGTGTAGATGTGCAATTATGTTATTTCGAAATAATGTCAGTTACTCTGAAATAATGCTGCTGTGTAGACATACCACGAGATACAGGTAGTGAAAAGATAAGGGAATAAGAGGGTTCTAAAACAGAATGCTTCCTGCCCGGGCTCAGAGTGAACTAGATGGGGCCCTGTGCCAGGAATTCAAACCTGGTTCCCTTCAGAGTTTTGATTTAAAAAAATTAAAGAACAGCCTATTCTGTACAATGTCGTGGCTTCTGAGTTCAAAGGTAGCTTGTCTCCAGTGAGGCTGACAGACTTCCTAGCCCCCAGGGTGGAATGAGGAGGGCTGTGGCTAGCCTCTGCCAGGCACCCCTCAGCGCCACCTGGGAGTTCACCATGTGGGACTCCGGCCGCAATTTAAAGGGCCCAGGCCTCTGGCCACCAACACTGCTTCTGGGCCCTGGGGCAGCTGCTTCCTCCCCTCACCCCACTACTCCTGTTGGCAGGCTTGCCTGTCGCTTTCCTTTACACCTCTCACACGAGTGTGTGTGTTCTGCTACTCTTTCCTCTTGGAACATTTTCTATTCAACACTTATAAACTCTTTAATGCAACCAAAATATTAATCTCAAATGAAAAGGAGGGCTTACAATAAATGAAGGCTGGTCAGAAAGCAAAACTTATGTATATCTTTAGGCTAGATAATATGGTGTCATGTCATATAATTTCTGTTAGACCAAGAGTTCTGAAAATAAGTTCAATTCTCAAATTATTATTTAGGCACCTAAGTGAGTGGCCTAATTTTCCAAATTCCCAATCACCTGGATGGCTACTATTGATAGCAGTGGGACAATGAGGGGAAGTAAGAATATGCATGGGATTAAATGTTTGTAGGATGGCAAAATCCAGATAAAGATGATTACAATGATCACTCAAAGCATGATCTACAGCCCATTGCAGTCAATGGAAAGAATTCCACTGATTTTGTGAACAATGGGATGAGATCTTAAAGAAAATGAAGTCTCAGAGGAAAATCTCAACACTTAAATCCTGTGTCTTGCGGGGTGTTTTTAAATATCACTTTTTCAGCGCCAATGCTCAAAGACATTTTAGTGTGAAATACTAAACAAACATCACCCTCTCTTTACTCCTAAAAATCATGCACATTGTTTATTCCTTTTAAAAAGACACCCTTTTCCCAATGTTGCTTATGCCACTTCAGAAAGTATATTCTAAAATGGAGCAAAGAATTATCCTGAGTAAATAATTTTGGGCACTAGCAGGCAATTCATAACTATAATTAAAAGAACTTTCTCAAGAATTCAGATCTGTAGATTAAATTTTACTTGGGCAAAAAACTAAATTACTTGCGAGCCGCTTTCCCTCTCCTTATCTGTGTGGATGAAAATGCACAGATCCAGACCTGTTCTAAGGGCTTAGATATGTTCTGGAAAAGAACAAAATGGGGTTTGGATCAGCCTAATTCGCAGTGAATGGAATTAGTGCAAGGGCTCACTAAAAGGCTCAGAAAAGGAGTCATCCTCTGGCCACAGAACAGTAGCAGCACTGCACTGTGCTGCCATAATCATATGCCTCCCTGTGCAAACACCCTTAAGATTCCCCAGGCATTGGTGCAAAGAAAGCCCCTTTGGAACCACAGCATCAAAGGGCAGTAAAGACTCAACTCCCCGGAGCTGGACCCCAGATGATAGAGCTAATGTGCAAATTTTCAAGCAGAAAAGCAATATGGGTAGTCAGGGAGTTCCATCTCTACAGCAGTAGATCAGTCAGACAATGTAGTGCTGTGGTTGGCAGTATGTATACGCTCGTGTGTTGAATGCTTTTTCATTTTCAACACACTTTTTGTGATGTGTTTGCAAATAAGACAACACTCTCTAGCACCTCAGCAAAGCTAGTTCCAAGCTATCAATAGAGAAAGTGTGGACATTAACACCAGACAACATACCTGTTTTTGTAGTCCTTTAACACCCTGTTAGTATAAAAGGTAGCAGCATCGTTCATCTCCTTGACATAAGGGCCTGGTTTAGGAGACTAAGAGAACAGCACCATCACCCAAGTATAGCAAGAAAAAATAAAAGAAGATGTAAAACATTAGTCAAAGCCCTCCACCCGTATGCTTGACTGAGTGTAGCAATAAGCTGATGGGAATAATAGTTGGGACTGTTCTGATTTTACCAAGTGTGTTTAAAAATGCCCTACTCTGTGTGTAACTTA